CACATTAATCCCATATAAATCTCACGCGATTTTACATTTCTGGCATATCAGGCATCAGGTAACATCACGGGCCGGGATAATTTGATAATGCTTAAGTTTAAGAGAGGAATGCGGACCTGAAGGATCACTAATCGGCTGGTGGATACCGGCTGACAGCGGGGCGTGGGGGATGGCAGCAGACAGGATAGCGCCTTCATGGAACGCGCTGCTCGCCTTAAATACGTTCCAATAGCTTCTAGACAACCATACACTTACAAACAGCCAGCCATGCATCTTCATTAACTGTTGTTGGTTACTATAGTTACTGTACTGTGCCCTCCCACGATTGTGTCTACCGTTGCATTAGACAGATCGGTTCCTGTGCCAAGTGTAGTAATCGGCCACTGTAATTGATAACTACATAATGGGGATTGTAAATTCTGTCTGTGAGTTGTTGAGAGAGAATGGAGGCTTTATCGGAATAAACCCGGCTTAAGTTGTCAGCTCTTGGTTAGATCAGGGTGCCGTTGGCTGATCATCAAAGACCAACGCGTGAAATGTGATTTATTAACACTTACATGTTTATCCCTACAAGTGACATCTAATCAGTCAGTACACAAGAAGAATGTGACTTTAGAATTCTTGCAACGTTCGTGCAAATCAGTTTCAGCTGGTTCTGCTACATTTTCCTTGTCCTTTTGTGATCTCGGTATTTTCTGTCCGTCCTACCAGGTTCCTTGAACTGGTGTCCGATCTTTATCTTAATGAGGTGGATTAGTGTCTGACATTGTACGTGGTAAACAGGCTATATTTTACCGCTGTACTGCCATGAAATATGAAGTCAGAACACCTGCTGTTACTGCTCTGGACTTTTCAGTTTCTTATCCAATACAGCAAACGAGATGGTCTCACTAGACGTGAATCTGCATCTTCTGAACTTGCTTTACTTTTGGAATCTAAACGAAATCTTTTTGTGGATCTCATTGACACGCCTGAAGAGGCCATTGCATTCTCCATCGTAGAAACATCATCATGTTGCTACATTGTGGTGTTCCAATCCTAACACGTTGCTAGCAGTACTTTATGCATGCCTTTTCTAATAGAGATTGCCAAAAGCTCCTTCCCTGTACGTTCTACCAGCCATCATCAACAGAGGCTGTCTCAGGAGGTTCTGACTCCCACAATGGAGTTGCCTCCCCACTTATAAAATAGGGAATATGGCCAGTAGCAGATTTACGACAAAAGGAAAAACATGCTCTTGTTTTCCCTGTTTCTAATCATAACTTAATTTCACTTTTGGATGACACCAATAGTTTCAATATAATGAGCTAAGGGAAGACGACAGTTCTTCTGTGCTAGAAGGCCTTCACCTTAAATACTGTTTTGGCTGTGGTGAATCTAATTTCTATTGAGATATGCCACGTGTAACCTCTGGATCCACCAGCATCAGTCGTCAGGACAACAGCCTTTAGTGTTTATAGAGTCATCGTCATCTAATAAACTCTGTGTCATCTGCTATTTCTTTAGAATAGGAACCGTGTTAGATACTGAAGCATCTAAGCGTCTTTATCTATCTAGGAAGTTATCTTGTGTCCTTTTTCTGTCGCTCTAACAAAACATTCTTAAATCTTATTGGATAATTATGATATATATTGTTTATTGTTATTGTCCAGTTACTGGTCCTTTGTAATAGCCTCCGGCTAGTTGGGTACTCCTGGCTGTATAACACTCTATACAGTCATATCAAATGTTGTTCAATACCTTTGCCATAGGACATCTACCATATCAGTTGCTTGTATGTCCTGACATGTCAACAGGCCTGCAGCAGTTGGAATAGATTCAGGGCATAACTGACACTTAGTTATGACTTCATCATCGCCCAGACATTTTTATGTCATGTTACATCAGCTTTAGGAGGAACAGAACTGATGCCAGGAGTACGGTTACCAAATGAGATATGATCACTTGTAAATGTCTGTGACAGTTATTAGTCAGTTGCTCATCTTGAAGAGCTTTGTGTCATCTTCCATATGCTGTAAATGCAGTTCAGGTTATTGAAGATGACACTGTAT